TGTGTGTGTGCGTGCGCGTGCATGGGGTTAGGGTCAAATGTTGGACATTTTGGTGTTTTATTGTTCTGTGAAATGTTTACATTGTTTATTTGTTGTGTATTTATTTGTTTATCCTTGTTGTACTAATACAACTTATTATAGAATAACTTGGCATTTTAGTACCCTTGTCGCACAGTGTTGCCTTGAAGCAACAAACCAATATCTGTTTGGGGGGGCTGGGTGTCAAATTTATGATTGATATATTATTAGGGACCCTAAAGCTCCCCCAAAATAGGGAGAAATATTTTTTTTCCCCAAAATTAAAAAGTCATGCAGTAGAGGGATAAAATAAAATAAAATAAAAATAAAATAAAGGCAAACTAAGACTGTCTCGCACTCTTTTGTTTTTGTTTTCTAGATGTTGTTTACCAGGGTTCATGTAATTCAGAAGCTATAATTAATGAGAAAAAGGAGCGTCACAAGTGGGCGGGTTTTCCTACACTGACAGTAGTTTTTTGAGGAGAAATTTACAGCAAAGACGTCTCACTCTGACATAAATACATTTGCCTTTGATGTATTTATGTCAAAGTGACATAAATACCCCCCACCCACCCCCCCACACACACATACACACACTTCATTTCTATGTATTTTTATAACTTTGTGTCAATTTCATGTTATTTGCCATATGCCCATTATGCGTACACATTAAGGCCCATGAGCGTGTGAGAGTGCAGCATCTTTGTACATAGAGACGATCTCTGTCAGACGGCGGAGCGGTTGGAGGTTTTCAATCTGTGGCGTGCACTCTGTTGCTGGAAGAGGTGCGGTTCGTACCAGCGTCTGCGTATTAAACTTCACACGGAGAAACTGCAGAGGTACGTTTAGATTTACTTTGAAGACCACTGTTTGAGCTGCGACCTTAAAAGAAAAATCTAACTTCTCAGTTTAAACTATTCTGGACATTTTCCGCGCTCTTGGCTTTTGTGAATCTCGCGGGGTGGAGGCTGGTGTCGCGCATGAATGGACCACTGTGAAGTTGAAGTGAAATGGGAGTAATGTGCACTTGCAGTATATATATATGCTAACTAACACGGTGTAGTTCACACAAGTGATCTCGGTGTGGGGTTTTAGTGGCAGCTGTTTTTGTTTGGTAGCTCACGCTCCACACTTAGAAGCGACTACAAAACAAAGTGATGGTGAGTGAGCAGGATGGCTGCACTGTTGGCATTTTCTTTACCAAGAATGGAAGGAGCTTAGCCGTATCCAGGACGGGTTGGTGGTGGGAAAGTTCCCCGATACTCAAATCTGCTATCATTATTCCCTTGTATTGATTTGGTGAGTTGGGACAAGCCCTTACACCAAACAGAACTGACTCATTGGACTTGACCTTGTGCCATGGGCGGGTGTAAATATAGAAACATACAAACAAGAATATGCAAGACATGCCAAAACAAAGTTTGACGAAGCTAATTATGGCATTTAACTCTCAGTCTGAAAGATCGGTGGGCAAGATAATTAAGATAGTAGTTAAGTAGACTGGTAAGAGTTTAAAACCACTGTTTAAAGCACCCGTGTTTGGTGTGTGCTAGTTTAACTTCCGTGTTAAAAAGCTAGAAACAGCTTTCCTACTGGCTATACGTTACATTAAGGTAGTGTATGTTAATGCTTTCGTGTGCACGCGCGCCTCCTCGTGTGCACGCGCGCCAACGGCAGGAAAAACCAGCTTGTCTACGTTGTTCAGATGCTTCAGCAACACAGTCCATTTCGTAGTTTTACTAACGCTACTAGAACAGAAGGGCGTAGATTTGGCATGGACGGAAGGGACATGTCCCCACCAATATCCAGCGATTATTGAATTGTCTCCACCAATAATTTAAACTCTTCGAGTAAAGAAAAACAAACCCGATAGAAAGAAAAAAACATCTGTCGACGTCTCATTCACACAGGACTGGAATCCTATAGGAATTTACAGAGGTCATTTAGAAAAGGTGCAATGGCTTGTAGCTAGTCAAAGTGTGCAAAGCCAGTGAAAGGTCAAGTGTCCGTTTCACCTGTTTCTGGTTACATAGGTGGGGGGAGAAGTGTAGTTGTTTAGTTTAAACATAAGGGGTGGAAAACATCTGTCGTGGCTTTCACTGATGACAGACTACCTCGTTTAGAGTATAGATGGCACGATACCACTTTTTTATGTCCGATACCGATATCATAAATTCGGATATCTGCCGATACCGATATGAATCCGATACAGTGTTTTTAATCAATAAAACAGTTTTTTTTAATATCTTGCTGCTTTTTGTATAAGTTCATACTCAAGTTTAAAAAAAAACCCCACTAAAGCTATTCTGTTATACCTGTATGTTTAAAAAAAACAAAAAAAAAACCCCCAAAATATTTAATAGTTCAGCAAAACTGATCAATCTAATAAACTTAAACCTGCTCCATTCTCCCTATTCTGGTATTTTAAAGAGTAAGCAACCTAACTAATAGGGCTTTAAAACTCCCAGCAAAAAAAATAAAAATAAAATAGGGAACCACCCACCCTCCACTTCATGATGCTTAATTGACGTAATCAACTGTAATTTGATGCAGTGTGAAAAAAATGCACAGAAATAAATTATTTTTCAAGAAATATTAAATAGATTCAACATCTTTCTTCAACAGAACTGCAGACTGCACAGATGGTTCCCTCCCAAAGGAAAAAGTGCTATAGCTTACTAGGGTATATTAGACTTAACAGTTACTATATACTGTAATGGACTTCTATACATTTTACATCAGATTAAAACTTTGGGTGTAAGATTCGGATAATTATTTATTAAAAGCTCGACATTTTAAATGAGAATAAGAAATAAAAGTATGTCTTTGTGCCCCCTTTTCCCTTTTCACTGGTCCGACGTGCTACGGTTATGAGCCGAGTTACGCTGTGTCGCAAGTTTTGTGAGGTGCTTTTTTGATATTTAATGGATCGGATTACATTTTTTTGTTTCTCTCCAATATCCGATCCAGTGATTTACGCTAGTATCGGACCGATACGTAATATCGGATCGGTCCATCTCTAGTTTAGAGTATAAATATATTGCCACAAGTTGCCGGCAGCAGCATTATAGTGACACAGCATAAGTCAAATATAAGCACAAAAGCATCCCAAGTGATGTTTTTCATGGAAATTCCAAGTGAAGTGTGTAACTGCTTGACAGTAAAGCAGTTTAACAGTGTAACTACAAAAACAGTGCAAGGTTATAAAACAGTTGGTGCACTGGGTAAAATGTAAATGAAAACAGACTGCAAAGATTTGCAAATTTCATGCACCCATATTTTATTTGGAGTTGAACAGAGAAAATGCATCAAATGTTTGAACTGACAAAATTAATGCTCACAAAAAAAAAATTTGTGATTTGCAGCTTGCACATCTGCTTCCATCCAAATGACATAATTTACAGGGAAAGCCTGGCATATTTCAGCAAAACATTTCTAAACCACGCACTGCACTTATTACAACAGCATGGCGTTTTAGTAAATTAGTCCGGCTGCTGAATGGCGTGCGGTCCAGACTTTTCACATTTGAAGTATCATGAAAGACAAATGGTGACTAAAGAAGACCCAGAACTGCTGAGCTGCTACTAGAGCTGGGCGATATGACGATATATATCGTGTGGACGATAGAAAAGTGTCTATCGTGCCATTTGTCTTCTATCGTTTCTAACCTAATTTTATAAATTATTACATAAAATATGTCATTAACCGGTCGGAGTGGGCACGCTCCGTTTTGCCTAATTTTTTTTAAATCCCTGTAGAACTGGAACCACTAAGCTAGGGCAATAGTTTTTTTTGCATATGAAACCGGAGGAGTTGTACTTACATCTTGGGGCGATCGTGGAGTTCGCCTTGTAATCGGAAGGTTGCCGGTTCGAGCCCCGGCTTGGACAGTCTCGGTCGTTGTGTCCTTGGGCAAGACTTTTCATCCGTTGCCTACTGGTGGTGGTCAGAGGGCCCGGTGGCGCCAGTGTCCGGCAGCCTCGCCTCTGTCAGTGCGACCCAGGGTGGCTGTGGCTACAATGTAGCTGCCATCACCAGTGTGTGAATGTGTGGATGACTAAATGTGTAAAATGCTTTAGGGTCCTTAGGGACTAGAAAAGCACTATACAAATACAGACCATTTAAATCTTATGCTACCAGCTTGTCCTAGGTCACGGTTTCCTTCCACATATAGCTTTGCAAAAATTGCATAAAAAGCACTTGCAGCAACAAAAACATAATATTCCAGAAACACGCTTTGCCGAACAGCTTTTCATAACACTTCCTATGTTGGAAGTGTTGTTGTTGGTCAGCGCGAACTATCGCATGTCCGCCATTACCTGCCCGGAACCGGAAGTGACGTCATTTTCGCGGAAAATGTAGTTTTTTGTTTGTTTGGGGGTTTTTTTTACCTTCAGGGCCTTATAAGCCTATACTGGTGTTTTTAAAAGTTATGTTTGACTTTATGCGTTTCTGTATCATTTCTGGGATGCTTAGAACTCAAATTAAACTGTTGGAAATCGTTTATTTTGATGCACATGCTGTTTTTTTGCAGCAAGTTGGGAAAAGAAAAACTATAGCCAGCCGAAGATATAGCAGTCTTTCACACAAGGCTCTTATGAGAAAACGTCCAAGCGCCATAAACAAACCACAGGAGCCGTCTCGCATTACATTTGTAAATTCATGGCCCCTGTTTATGTAGTTGAGAAGGACAGCTTTCATGACCTCGTCAAAGTCCTTGATCTGAGGTACGTTATGCCCGGTCATAAGCACTTTAGTAAAGTCGAGTTGCCTCGCTTATATGACGCATGCCGGGCCAAAGAAGAGAAGGATGTTTGCAGTGTTGTGCATTATGCTTTGACGACTGACCTATGGACGAGCAGAGATGCGCAGTCCTACATGAGCATAACCATCCATTTCATTAACAATGACTCCACCCTCTGCGCTCGCTGTTTACAGACTGCATACTTTCCATATGACCACAGGTCAGATGGTATATTGTGATATATATCGTTATCGTGATATAAAATAATTCATATCGTGATAAATATTTTTTCCATATCGCCCAGCACTAGCTGCTACAAACCGATATCGGACAAGTTATTAAGTTAGTCAGCAAATACACATACAAAATATTGTCAGTTGAAGATTAAAGCACCTACCAATATTTATTTTTTTCTCACCAGTTATTATTTAAGCAAGACTGAACCTCTGTACTAATGAAATCCAGCACTGTGGGGCTTTTAAACAAGGCAGTTAAACCTTGTTTGGGTTCACAAGTTATGGTTATGGAGGAATCCAGATCATTCATCCGTCCTCCCGAGAACACAACAGTTCTGTGTCCTCGGGCAAAGTTTCAGCAACTGCACTCATTGTGAGACAGTGTCTGCTTGTCCACATCCACCCCTCCCACGTTCACACACACCAGCAGAGAAATAGTTGTTGGAAGTGAGAAATGTGTGGCAATCAGTTGCTTGGCTGCGCAGCGAGAAGAGGAAGCAATAACACAAACACGCTCCCTGCAACGTGACTTCAAAGATTGTGTGTTGCCTGCTTTCTGTAACTTCATGGGTGTTGGATCACCATCTTTTACTTGAAACTTTGTTAGTCTGCAACTATGTGGCCCCTCCAGGCTCTTCTCCTGCCCCTCAACAGAACCCTTACTCCAAAAAAACATCAGAGAAACCAGTGATGTCATTCAATGTTCCGCTAACAAGGAGCAGCGGTGACTCAGAGTATTTAGTCAGTCCTCCAGTGAAACTGCCCGTCAGACTCGTGTTCCTCCAGTTAAACCTGGTCTGTCTGTCTGCTGCTGAAGGCACGATGGTATTTGCTCAGACTTGCCAAATCCTGGTCAGAAATTTAAGTCTGATAGGAAAAAGGATGAGTTATATGCAATTATACAAGCCAAAATCTAGCCTGTTCCAGAAATGCCACTGAAGTTATTAAATGTGTTGCGTGGAGCTCACTGAGGATGAGACGTGTCGGCGTGGTGGCTGCTGTTTACACAGTTCAGTGTTGAAACAGACTGTGCAACTGCAGGTTTAGTCAAACAGCAAGCAGCATGTACTCTGTGTGCATGGGGCTGCCGTGAGACAACGACATTCCAATGATTCATTAAATTAGTGTAACAATATCGCGCAGAGAGCTACGTTGAGGCTTATCAAATTGGCTGTTCATTCATAAAGCAAGCCAAAAATTTACAGGTTATGAAATCTTATCTGAAATCGCTCACATTCTTCTCCACAATCACAGTCAAAGTCATGATGGTTTCCTGGCTGCAGAGATCGAGTTTAGTTTTGGATCAGATAAGAAGTAAACAAAACACCGCTTCCTCTTGGTCTTCACACTTGTGCTTGTGTTTCCATAGAAATGGCAGAGGCCCACCAGGCAGTGGCATTCCAGTTCACCATAACACCAGAGGGCATCGATCTGCAGCTGTCCTACCAGGCGCTGAACCAGATCTACCTGTCTGGAGTACGATCCTGGAAGAAGCGAGTCAGCCGCGTGCGGGTGAGCATCACAACCCCAGACTAATCAGGCTGTGTACGATTTATTTAAAAAAAAAAAAAAGTTGTTTACTGTTCATTTAAAGCATTTATTTCATTAGAATGTTCAAAATGCAAAATTGTACTAGTTTGATAATTGTTGTTGGGGGGGGGACAAAGGTATGACAATCCCATAAATGTTTAACCCTCTACTGTTTTGCGTAACTATTTTTAAATCCCAGTAGCTCTGCAACCATGTAAGCTAGCGCAATAATTTCTTTTGCATATGAAACCAGAGGAGTTGTACTTACATCTGATGCCATCAGCTTGTCCTCGGTCACGGTTTCCTTCCACATA